TTATCAATGAGAGAAATTTATTTCGATCGCTTATAACAGTTATCGATGAGAGAAATTTATTTCGATCACTCATAATAGTTATTGATGAAGGAAATTTTTAATAGTTATTATTAAATAGTACAACTTTCAAATAGTAGACAATCAATTATTTAATAAATTTTTTCTTCATAAAATTAATTGTTACAGTCAATTGCAGTCAAGAATCAGCTTGCGTATTTCACCGGGCGTTCTTCTCGTTTCTCCCTCTGCAACAGGACAGTTCCTAGCGCATAACTGCTTGTGTCCGTTTGCAAGATGTATGGTCTTATCCCATTAGTGGGTTGTATGCAATAACGGTGCCTCAGTTAAAATCTTCTTGAGTTGATTAAATATGCCCGTTCCTGCTCTTCATCCCTTTGTCATTTTTCTTAACCCTTCTTAACCTATGATCTTTTTCTGACTATGCATCTAAGCGTCAGTCATTTAGTGTTTTAGTACTGTATCAAGTAAAAAAAGTCTGTTATAGATTAATTACATTTAGTAATTCTCAGTGTTATAAATTCAAATAAAAGTTAGGACTACAATTAATTTTTTTTATTATTACTACTTTTGTCATATCTTGAGTAAAATCCCTGCCACGAGTGTGACTCGTTATAGGTTAAGGGGTTAATGGTTCTGTGATGGAGGCGAATTCTGGCACGAATCGTCGTCAGTACCATGAGCATGTCTGCACAAAACTTAGAATTTCTTTAACATTCGCATCTTACTTTAGTTGCAGTATTATTTTTAATATGTGAAACCAATGTGTGTATTTCATTTGTTAACAGTTTGGGATGCGAATGTACTTTTGTGAGCGACTGTATATTCATATCTACGTATCTCCTTGTTTCGCAAACGAACCTTCTAGCTTTGTACCACTTCCACGTTTCCTCATCGGTAATGTTACAATGTTAATTCACAACGTTAATTCTGCAATCCGTTCGCAATCCAAATGTGTGTCTTGATTCTTCTGTACCAGTCTCCTCGTCCACTTCTCTAATTCTCATTCTGCCACGTGGTGGTTCTCTTCTGTTACCGTTGTTCGTCTCCATTTGCAACTTGCATACCGCCGCAAAATTATTACATGGTTTCGATTTCGCCGGATACTTAATATCCTTTTACGAATGTCCTGTGTAACCACTGTTACGCGATGCGAGGACCCGGATTTTTTTAGTGGCGCGTGTATCGCCTGGTTTTATGGTTGAAGCAGGATTATAGATAGTGTAGGATCGAGACCTCCATATCCAAAATAGGGGACCGACGAGGAAAAATAAAGAGGGCATTATTGGCGTAGTGCGCAAAGTCTCGACTTTGCTAGCCGGAGGTTGTCGCGGGGTTCGATTCCCGTTGGGTTCCTACAATAGAAAACGTCGGACGAACCGGTGTATGACTAATACGGGGAGCCGAAAATTAGGTTTTTCGTGAACGAACCGACGTATGGCTAACACCGGGAGCCACTATGGAAACGTGAACGAGAACCGGTGTATGGGTAATATCGGGAGCCACTAGGTTAAAGGTGTGAGGTTAAACCTCGCAGATTGTAATTATGGTTACATCTCGAGCGGTAAAAATATATGGTAGTGGGTTTTCTTTATTCTGTTACTAATATTACTCAGGATGGGTTGGATTGAAATAAGCGAATATAACTTAACAATGCTATATTCTAATATAAATAACTCTACAAGTTACAATGATATATAATGAAATTGGTCAATTCTTAATTCAGCAAGAATATCCCTTCTCGACTTTATTCGGCGAGTACGGAGGGAGTTCTAGACAAAATTGTCTAGTTGACACTTACACAGGGTATGAAATATAATGCAACGTTCTGACTGACAGAGTATAACAACCTAATCATAGACTGAATTCCAGAGCATTAAAATTCTGCTCCTTACATACTCAAAAAAATTGTAATTTTTGGTGGTGAGATAGGCTAGATTCCGGAATGCGCTCGCATCGCGCCCTATCCCTTTCGCTGTTCAGGGATGCGTGATAGACTAAATACTAGGCGCCGCCGTTTCGGCTAGGCTGCATTCGTAACACATCGAATAGTGTCCTTTTTCATCTCGGTCATTTTCTCTCTCGCTACTCATCTTGATATAATCAATTATGAAAATGGCAATAGTCTTACTAAGACTGTGGTCAGAACCCAGGCAGCAAGAGGTTGCTCTCAAGGAAGGGTTTTCTCGTCTCTACTCTGGACTCTTGTGGTGAACGGGCTCCTACGCAGGCTTGTCAACAAAGGTTATATCGTACTTTAGACCTGGCGAGCAGAATGTAAGCAGGATTAGTGCCACTCCCAAGCCCTTAACATAAATCTGAGAAAACAGTGCTTTAAATTTAAAGCCCCCTCAATCTTCGGAGTTTAACACCGTACGTCGGAAGAAATGAGACATCTAGGAGTGATCCTAGATAGATAACTCTCTTAGAAAAGCCACATCGCTAGACAGGTTCAGAAAGCAATTATTGCTGGGCCTACCGAAGGATGTCCGGTACAACGTTGAGTTTGAAACCAAGAACGGTAAGATGAATATAGACAGCCAACCTTTGAAGCCCAAATAATATATGACTCGATGGTGTGATGGATCTGCACGAGGAAGGTCACTAACAGGAAGACGCTAGACAGAGTAAATCAACTAACGCTGTTGGGAATGACAAGTGCTTTCTAGAACGTGGAAGGCAACCATGCGACTGAATTTCACAGGAAAATGGTTACGAGAGTAACAGTGCTTACTCTGCAATCTTGCGGAAATCAGTAGTCCTTCATAAGGCCCCAACCTGCAGGAGTGACAGGTACGACCAAATATACCTTTTCTGATATAACTTTGAGCTCCTCTTCCCTAACAGAAAGACTTGAAGAGAAGATGCAGGAAAAATTATGGCTTCAAGACCAACTCTGGAACTGGAGACAGGATATGCAGGGAGAGCCCAAGAGTGAGATTAGTCCCCGTTTTAGGCCACTACGTATTGGTATTCCAGGCGGAGGTGGTTCGCAAATGCTTTACGCACTTCCAGCTAGCTTCGGGTAGTGTGGGACTCTCGGTTCTATACCGGTTTACCCACTAAAACCCCTCCTCGACACCACCTCTCTCCCACGGGCGTCCGGAAATCGAAATATCACTACATCAGGTCATATCACACAAAGCTGTTTCCAATCTGGACCTGTGCCAAACTAAATCTGGACAACGACGGAAAGCGCATTTACATTTACAGCGACAATCGAGCTGCGCTTGGAGCCCTCCATAAAGTTGAGTGCGGGATCAAAGCTAGTGCGAGACTGCTTTTTAATCCTTAAGCGGTTGTCATTCAACAACCCCGTGAAATTGGTGTGGGTTCCAGGTAATTCTGAGATAACCGGAAATGAGGGAGCAAATGAACAGACTCTGATCGAAGCATTGAAACCCCATCCGGACCTCACATGTCCCATTAGTCTGCTGGCACGGTGAGGGGTCTGACGAAAAATTAAGTGGAGGAACAGTTCATTGGACTCTAGAACCGTGTCCAAGGCATCGGGTATACAAACGCTTGGTACACTGCTCTCTAGTAGTAGCAGCACTAGTTCGTCCAACGAGTCGAGTCAGTAGAGGTAAAGAAACACACGTGATTGGGACAAGAGCACATTCACAATATTCTGATACTATAACACTAAACCCGAGAGGTCGAAGTAAGCTCTAACAATGACCAATATAAATCCGCTCTTGAACTATTGTTCACCAGCCAATAACTGGAGTCCTTTTTATCTATTACGTGCTTAGCACGCGAATGTTTTTTGGTCACCTCTACTAACTAGACTTGTTGGACAGACTATAGAAGAAGTAACATATTTATAATCAAATATGAAGTTTCTATGTACCTTAGTTTCAACATTTCATAATTATTTTATTATATTATTTGCTTTCGTTTTAGAAAGATATAAATTGAAAGTACATCTGTCCCTCGATTTATGCGGAGTATTCGTTCCATGCGTTTTTGTTTTTATGCAGAATAAAATCGCGTAAATAGAGTCTGTCAGCAGAAAAAAAATACTAGAAAGAAAAGCCGACATAAGTTATAAAAATATTTATTTCACATAAATTAAAAAAAAAAAATGATAATTCAGTAAACCAAAATAAATTTTATTCAGTGTTACTATCTGTATTATAATTCAAAACAATCATTTTTTCTTTTTAATTGGTTCAAAGTCATTATGTTCATCGCTTGAAATATTTGGAAGTTCTACTTCATTTTCATCAGTAATGTTTATGTTTTTGGATGATTTTTTTTCAATCTTATCTTGTGCTAATTTTTCATAAATTTCCTGATATTCACTGCAATATTTTTTTAAATCTTGTGTAAATTTTAAGGCTCGTTGAACGTTTTGATCCGTTATGCGTTACGTCAAAATGATATTATTGGTACAGTCAAGTAAGAAATTGCGTCTCACTGATATGTAGTACATTCAATAAAGATTTTAGAAAAACATATTTTCTGAGATCGCGTAAATTGATACCGCGCAAACGGAGAGATATTTTCCGCGTAAATCGAGGGACGGGTGTACATACTTCTTTTTTTTAGTATTTTTCACACATTATCCATATAAAATAAACGAAATGTATAAAACATGTATATCAGTACTTTGGAGAAGATACGCATTAATTTATTAACACTACCACTGATTATTCTCGCCGCAGTCACTAATAATCTTAGAAGGTGCATGTGACCTTAAACGGCAATTAAAAAAAAAACTTTGAATAATTTATTGAAATTTAAATATTTTCTTATTCTTGTGGGATCGAAGCCTCTATGCCCATCAAAAGGAACAAATAACAACAAGAAGATCAAGAGAGCGCCTTGACTACGGGCATAGAGTCCCGATTCTCGTTTGGTCCCTCATATTTTGCCTTGGCTCCTATGTTATTATTTATTTTTATTATTTTTCTTAATAGAAAGAATTAAAAAAGGGAATTTCTACTAAGGACGAATTTGATACATCACTTTTACCATCAATTAGTTTCAATGGATACATTAACTGTGTTAATGGCTTTAGCGCCTGTGCTATGACTTGTGATGACATTATGTAAGATTTAAATTAATAAGCATTAGTAAAAAATGTGAAATGACATATATAAAATATTGATATGTATTGAACTTTTCAATAATCTTTGTAGAAGAGAAGTAGAAAGTTGTGGTCGTGAAATAGTACCATTAGGATTTGATTTAGAGTGGCCTTTCAGTTTTCAAACAGGAAGTGGAAAAGTTGCATTAGCACAAATTTGTTTCAATAATAGTGCCTGTCATCTATTACATATATATTCATTAAAGAAATTACCTGCAGCATTTGTAATTCTTTTAAGTCACCCAAAAGTAAGATTAGTTGGTGTCAATATAAAGAAGTAAGTTTGTTAATACATAATGTTAATACACAATGTAATAGATTGTATATAACACAGTTTTCATGAACTGTTTTTGTTTATAGCGACATTTGGAAGTTGGGCAGAGATTTTAATGAATTTCCTGCCTCTGAAGTTGTTCAAAATAATTGTATAGATAGTGGTACATTTGCCAATCGAGTATTAAATAGATCTTGCCGTTGGAGCTTAGCAAAATTAACAGCATATTTGGTTAGTTTAGTTAGTTTGCTGTAGAACATTATTTAAAATTTAAACAACTGATTTAAAGTAAAACTAATATTGTATAGTCTAATAATAAAATAATGTTGATATTATCTACTATACAATAATGACGCAATTTCTACATTATCATTTTAGTTAAAAAAAAAACTTGATAAGAATTCAAAAGTGAGAATGAGTCAATGGCATGTATATCCTTTAAGTGAAGAACAAAAAATGTATGCTGCAACAGATGCATATGTATGTCTCTCACTAAAACGTTGTTTCTAAAAAATATATATTACTATTAGTATTTAAATAGTGTTTTCGATTTTAATAATAAATACTTTTATTTTCTTGCAGGTTTCCTGGCTTCTACATACAAATATACAAGAAGAAGCAGATATAAGGAATACTAAGAATGAAGTGACATGTGATAGTATTTAAGTTATATAAATGTACAGAAGTATACTAAATCAAATTCTGAAGGTTCACAATTGCAAAACAAATACTTTTGGTCCATTATGCCTATGAAAACGGTTAAAGTTCTATGGGCAGGCAGATTAAATTATAAATCAGGACTCAAATTACAAACAATATTATCCAATCAGCATCATCAACAATTAAAGAAAGATAATTGTAATACATTAATATTAGTTGAACATAATCCAGTATTTACAGTTGGAATTAGAGATAAAGAGTATACAGCAGAAGATGAACAAAGATTAACAAATTTAGGTGCAGAATTTTATAGAACAAATCGAGGTGGTCTTATAACTTTTCATGGACCTGGTCAACTGGTGGCCTATCCTATATTAAATTTAAAACAATTTAAAAATAGCATTAAATGGTACGTTTGCCAGATAGAAAATATGATTATACGTTTGTGTGCAGAATTCGGTATTAAAGGTGAAACATCTCCAAATACGGGTGTATGGGTAAATGATAAAAAAATTTGTGCAATTGGAATTCATGGATCTCGTTATATAACAACACATGGTTTAGCTCTAAATTGTAATACAGATTTAAGTTGGTTTAATCATATTGTGCCTTGTGGAATCAAAGGAAAGGGTGTAACAAGCATTAGCCAAGAACTTAATACAAATGTCACTATTCAAGATGTATTACCATTATTTCAGAATACTTTCAAAGATCAGTTTAAATGTTCATTAATTGAATACCCAGTAGAAGAGTCTTCACAGCTACTTAAGTTTGTCAACAGTAGAGATACTGATGCATAAAGTACATACCTCAAGTACATTAATTATATACTGCAATAATTTCAATGAATTAATGTATATGTAATATCTATTATTTGTTGAAACTATTCATTAGCATGTGAAATTCAACATTGAGATAAGAAACTATTTGATAAAATAAATTTAAAAAAGAATAAACCTTATCTTTATTTTCCATTCTTTTATTTTTAGCATTATATATTGTAAGACGGATAAAATCTTTTTTATTGTTATAAACTGTAAGGTAAATACAGTAAGTAACTTTACTATTTGGATACCATGTAATTTTAATTTTATCATAATATAATATTATTCATCATAATGGAAAAAATATTTTCTTATACAGGGTGTTCAGCAACTGGTGGGAGAAATTTTAAAAGGTGATTCTACAATACAAGACAAAATAAGATGAAAGTCAAGAATAACGAAACTGCATTTAAGACTTCATTTTTTAGTTATAAGCAATTAAAAAATCGGTTAAAGTATTCCTGAGGCTTGACAAACCTCTACATACCGGCTGGTATAAGGCAGGTCAGGGGACAAGAATGTCGTCACTACCAAAAACAAGGACGCATGATTAGCAGCATATATGTATAGTAGAATCGCGTCTGACGCATGCAAGATCACCGCACGCAACGCACAGATAACATGATAACACGGATGATTGGTGGGGGGCTAACGGTTTGTACAGCAAACGAACAGAAAATCCCCCCAGGCGCCTTAAAAACTAGGACCAGCCCGGGGAAACCCGGACGGATGGCAACCCTAACCGCACCGCTCTGCTAGTCTCGCAGCTCCCCTCTCTATTCTACGCTTCCCTTGACGCTCCACTGTAATCTCGTACTAAAAGACATCGCAAAAATGCATAAATTTATAATTGAAGGCATCGAAATACCGATCGCGGTACTAATTTCGTTTACATGCACTCCGCGGCAGAGCAGTCCGTACAGGCGATACAGCTCCCCGGCTAGTTCCACCGTAGTTAAAAAGTTAAGAAGTTATTACGTCCTTTTCGTTTATATTTAAAATTCATATTTTTTAATATTTTGTATAAGTTATTTTAAAATTAGGCAAAGTAGCATCGTAGGAAGTTCATTGCGATAGAAAAATTGATGAACTATTAGTATTATCGCATTTTTGTCAAAGTCGTCTATTTTGTTAAAAATTTTCTGACGGGACCTGGTTCCCTTTGGAGACGATAGTCCTCTACTTATTACATTTTCTTTACATATCCTATAGACTGATCTAAAAATATAAAATTAAGTCATGCTTTTTTTGCATAATATGCTATTTTTACCTTCTAGAAACTCCTGCAATACGTGCAGCTGCTTTTACTACATCTTTGTTAAGCATTTCAGGATTAGTTCTTAGTTTTGTCTTATAAATATTTAAAATAATTTCCTTTTGATTTGCACTCAGATAGGACCGTTTGGTGCGTTTTATAACAGGCGATATTTGATTATTTTCGCCTTCAAAAGCAGAATTTGTAGAGTATATGTTTATATAAATATTAGGCTTATATTATAAATCTAAATGTAAATATAAAACAACGAAACAAATGTAACACAACAAATATGAATACAAATAAAAAATATAAAAAAACAAGGAACGAGCAACATGCAGACTATAACTTGACGCGTTTTACGGAATAATACAAATTCATCCTTAACATCAAGTTCGACAAAGTTAGATTAGTGTTCAATAATTGGCGTCAACCAATAGCCGTATTCGCTACCTCTCTCACGTGTTAAAGCACGTGAATGTTTTGTTTACAGCTGGTAACTCGACTCGTTGAATGGAGTGTAGTCATCGATAATTGCAATACCGATTACCGATGCTTATACCGATAACTTTCATGTTAATATACGAATTTAATAATTCCAATAATTACTACGAACTTAATAATTCCATTGAAAAACGAGGCTAAATGCTTTTTATAGTTCTATCGTATGCTCCAAAGCCCAGTTCGAATGACACTTTACTCGACCATAAATTAAGGCATTTATATTTATTTCATTGGAAATTGAATTAGTATTTAAAAATGTCAAAACGCGAATATTTAGATACGTATATTATAATTCAGTATATTATTTTGTACATTTACTTTAATTCAACTAAAATAAAGTATAATTTGGAGTGCTTATAATAAATATAATATTGTACTTGTTTAAATAATACAATAAATATTTCCATAATTTTTATATCATGTAATTTTATACAGATTTAAGAAATTAAATTGTTTATACATATTTAATCATTCAATTTACACATAAATTACATGAACTTAATGCACAATTAAAACTGCACACTAAAAACTATTTAATTTTATATGATTTTAATAGCTTATAATACAGTGGAAAAGAATTTGTCTCAGTATTTTCAATCTTTCTAAGCATATATTACATACTGAAAAGTTACATTCTTGTTTTGTTTAAATCTTTTTTTAACTTTCTGTTATTTTAGTCAATTTAATTCAATATTTATTTGATTTTATAATTTATTTTGGAAAT